TCATTCAATAGTGTAATTACTTTCATAATTGTATATTTATTGAATTGAAAATTCAAACCTATAACATTTTTCATCAGTCCCCCATAATTTATGTGAAATCTTCTCATCCTTATTTGAAACAGGAGATCCAATCGAATGTGTGCACCAAGTCCATATTGATAAGATTATCAAATCTAATAAATGTTATAAAAAGTAGTGATTGACTTTATGAACATTATTATTAATATTTAAAAAATAATCATACTTGAAAATACTCTTTTCATTAATGAAGAATTTGTCACATACTTAAACCTTCGATTTTTCCAATTTCACTGGTTGCAAATGCTCTAATCAGTCTGGTATAAACGTATAATGCAGTACCAAATATTATACAACGTTCAGTGATATTTGCAGACATTTTTAATATCAACGTGATTGTGTGTACAAGCCTTGTTACGCAAGAGCAAAAATAGTATATTAGTTTTTTTTTGACCATTTATTTGAAAATCTTGTTTCAAAGTCGCGTCAAATGAAATCCAGGGTCTAAAATCGGGTCTTAAAAAGGAGGGTAAATTATATTGCATGGTAAATCCATCCATATTTTGGCATGATGATCAAAGAATAATTTCAAAATTACAAAAATGAGTGATTTTGAAAACACATCTTTAATTTCTTTTATTTGGAATGTTTTCACACAAGGGTCAGAAAGTATTCTGCATATGCTTAATAATCCTAATGTTCTGAGTTATAATGGAGAAATGCACGGATACCAACCAAATTTATGGAATTTCTTATATTCTCCTCATTTATTATTAGCAGTTTTTATTGCAAGTTGAACTTTAATATTTTTCATAATTTGCACTTAAAGATTGATTATAATTGCTGAATTGCTTACTAATCAAGATTATGATTTCGGTTTCTTTTAGAATGCGATAATTAATAGAATCAATGCCATTGTTGCACCTCAAAATCCTAGACCTTTAAAATTTAAAATTCGTTTATTAATCAGATTACCATTCTTTTACTGCTTGGTTAAATCTTTACTTGTTTTATTGG